CAGCATAAGGATTCAGTGGCCAGGCTTCCAAGCTGACACATTGCTGAATGTATACGAGGCTTTGGCTGAATTCCAAGCATTCTGTACACCTGATCTGCCTTTATGACTCTGGGTGGGAAGGGAGGGAAATTGAGGCACGCAGGAAGGGGGTGATTGACATGTGCTTCCTGCTAGAATGGGAACAGGAATGACTGGCCATGCATGGTCCCTTCAGGCTGTGCATGTGCCTGGTCAGAGCCCTGAGTATCCTGTATCAAGGGTGCATGACAGTAGATAGGCCTTGTTTCAAGGACCCTGAACCCCAGGTAAAATGTCTTGTCCAGGCATAGTGGCAGAATCAGGACCAAGACTATGAGTAGCTGCCACTGAGGTTTTCTGTGTGCCAGAAACTGTAGTGGGTTCTCTCATTGGCTGAATCTCCAAAAGGTAGGAGATTTTATGCAAAGGTATTCAAATATTCTAGAAGCCAGTACAACCTAATATGTACAACATGCTTGGTTCTACAGAGTGGAGGAGCCTGGACCCAAGTGGTTCTGCAGCATATTTACATGGCAGCTGAGCTTCACATGGTCCCCAGTCAGTCTAGCTCTGGCCTTCTCAGCAGAACTGCAGAAGAGAGGGTGCTTGGCATGCTGGGGAGCTTCGAACTTCCTTGACAATCATCATGTTGTGATAAGTTGTCTTTTGTGGGGGACTTGTGCCTATGTGCTTTGTGGGATACTCTACTGATCCCCTCAGGGTTACTGCAAGTTCTTAGTAATATGAGATCCTCCTCATTAGACTTATCTGGAGCAACAGTGGTTTCTCATGGTGGGCTTTGGAGGCACACAGACCCAGTTGGCATTTCAGCCCTTGCACTGAACCAATTGTCCCTTGAACCCATTTCTAGCCTCTCCAAGTTTGTAAGCTGGGGATGATGGAGAATAGGGCTTTGAAGTCTCTAGAGATCTTTTTGAGGTTTTGGGCTAAGTGGCAGAGGCAGAGATCCCAGGTCTGCCTAATGAGTAGTGTTAGTGGGCTCTACACTTTTTCTGAAGACAGAAACCTGTGATCTCAGTTCTTCTGACATGTGGGTGTTGGTCTATGGGTGAAAATGAAAGGGGTTTCTTCTAAGGAACTGACAGATAGACTTGTGGTTTTTCACTCAAGCTGAAGACGGGGCACTGGACACATGGGTGACCCCTCCAGATGTGGCTTGAGGAAACACAGGTAGTGTGGTATCAACACCCCTCTTCCCCAGCTTCTGGCCAGCTGGGTGCTTCCTTCATGGGTGTCTGGCAGATAGGCATGACCCTGTAATGACTCTTGGAAATTACCACACTTCTAACCCTGAGAGAAGGGGCTGGCTCCATGCAATGCAGGCTTAGAGAAGATGGTGCCTAGGCTGGATGTGGGCACTTTATAGGGGTGGGCTAGGCACCCCCCTAAAGGGAGAGTGGGTTCAGTGGTAGGGGTCTGTGGATGTGTCCACCTGGAGAGCAAGACTGGACTGGTGAAACGGAAGCTAGGTCAACCAGGTCTGTAAAGGACTCTCTTCTGAGCGGTGCAGAGCTGCCGGCTTGCTCCAGCTGTGTAGGACTTGGGTGTCTGAAGGCAGGGCTGGAGTGGCCGGCTTGCTCCAGCTGTGAAGGACTTGGGTGTCTGAAGACAGGGCTGGAGTGGCTAAGCATAAGGGTCAGGAAAGGAAAACATCCCCTTGCCCTCAGATACCCTGAGTGAGATAGGCCTTCATATTTAGCCTGTGGGAAAGGTTAAGGCTTTAAAACCAGAGATGAACCAAACTGCAAATTAACCACTCATCAGCTAACAAAAGTGTTGCTTATACACCTGTTTTATTAATTGGGCAATCAGAACTGTTTGGCAGGCCTTTGTGCTCTGGGCTCTGCTCCCATTCTGCCTCTGGTGGCCCTCTCCAGCCCTGCCAACTGGGCTGGGTTCCTAGTGCCTGTTTCAGTAGCCTCTAGGGCATTTTCATTACCATCACTCTGCATCATCTGGGTTCTCTTTTCCCATTTGACTGTTTCTCAGCATGGGGACTAGTCCATCACCTAGCTGTATATAGCTCACAGGGGCTCCACTGACCATCAGAGAGGCTAGCAGGTCTTCATAGTTTTCTCCAGGAGTTCTGTTCCAATTCTTGCACCTTGGATTCAAGCACATTCTGAAAGTTTTGCTGCTATCTCTGAGTCAGGCTCGAAGTTCTCTCAGCTTGTATGTATTTCTGTGACCCCGTGCCCATTGCTGGGCTCTCCCATGGCTTCTTCCTGTCCCCCGTAGCCTCATAGCTTCTGGCTGGGACTTTTCTTCTTTCAGTCCCTAGTCCTCCAAATAGCTGCAGAAACTTGTTAGCCCCAAAGATTCCCCATCCCTCACTGGGTTCCTGGTCCTGAGTTAGAGGAAGTAGGTTCAGGTCTCTCATCTGCAGCAGCATCTTTCCCAGCATCTGGATTCATCGCTCTATATACTCTTCCTATGCAGGCTACTGACATGGATTCCATAGCCTTCTACTACCTTATACATCCCTCTTTGCTAGTCACATCCCGTGGCTCCCTTTCCTGCATACTGTACGTTCCAGCCACACTGGTATGCACACATCCTTCCTAGCCTCTTCTGTCATCACGTGGTTTCCTGGCAGAGAGCCCTTCATTTCTCCAGTAGCCTCTTGTCCCAGTTGGGCCTTGAATTCAGTGTGTAACCCAAGCTGGCCTTGAACTTGGGATCTTCCTGCTTCAACTTCCCAAGGAGCTGAGATTACAGATCTGTGCAGCCAGGCCAGGCTTATCCTAACCTTATTCTTGTCTGTGGTTCAGCTCCGATGTCACTTCTCCCAGGAAGCCTCCCTCTTCTGTGTGTCTATAGGTGCCTGTCCTCACAAGGAAGCTGACATGCTGCTCCCTACAGAATGTGTAGACATCATTTTGCTTTCCTCACCTCACGTTCTGTCAGCTCTGTAGCCATCTCTGTACCGGGTAGACTCGGAACTGAGCTAAGCCCGTTCATTCCACACTTCCCTCCCTTAACCATCACTGCAGTCCTGCCACGCTGTGCTGTTATCCAAACCTTTCCAAGGGGAAGGAAACTAAGGTTGAGAGAGATTAAGCGCCAAGGGGCCATGCTGAGCTCTGTGTCCTGGCTTTTGCCTTAAACCCTGTTACAGATCCCAAGTGGACGGGGTGAACACACTCTAAAACATGTGAAAGCCATCAGAGCCAATAAGCTTCTGAAGATGCCACTGATTCTAAAATGCTTCTTGTTTTGTTTTATTCATTGTTGAGGAGGTTTTATGAAGGTCAGGCAGGGAGTGGTATAGGGCCAGCCAGAGAGACACTGATCATCCCAGGTGGCTCTTGCTTCTGGGAGCTGGCATTTCAAGGCCACTCATCTGAGCAGACGGAACCCTAGAGTTAGAAAGGTGGCAACATTGACCCTTTGCCTCTTCATTTCTTTCTCTTAGTTTTTTTTTTTTCTTAAGATAGACTTTCACTCTATCCAGGCTGATCTCAGCATCCTGAGTGCTGGGATTATAAGCTTGCACCCCCCATTCCTGGCTTCTGTGTTTCTTTTTAACCGTACAAATGCTTAAGGAGCAAAGCTGGCTAGTTACTTACTGTCCTGCGATTTCTACCATGAAGATAAATGCATCCCATTTGAGGCCTCTGCTGCAGTACAAGGAAGGAATAGTGAGGCTGAAAAGTAATGGGAATGCTCAGCCAAGGGGTTAATGCGATTCGGAGACAGGGATTTTTACTGTTGAAGCTGAGAGATGGAGAAGCCCTGACCACTCCCAATTGCAAAACAGCTCCCAAATGCTGGCTTCCTGACTCGCTTTGTAGGGACTTGTTTAAGCCTGGGTGTTTTTACAGCCCTGCCTCTCTGCCAGGAGTTTCTGCAGGCCGGTGAAGTAGGTGATGTGAGACTCTGTAGCTAGCTGTAACAGCCTCTGTAAATGAGGAAGGGAGACTAGGGGCCACCTGTATCTTCCTTGTGAGGGGCTGCCCAGGTAGCTGCAGCCCATACTGGTAACATGGGTGGTTGAGCAGACACCAAGGGTCTTTTGGACCCTGCACTTGTGCAGTTTGGGTTTTACAGCAGGCCTGTTTTGTAGCCTAGCAGACATTCTAAACAGTGATACTCTGTCCATGGACACATGGGTGAGCATTGGCTCTTAGCTGTGGTCTGGCCTGGGTGTGGAAAATCAGTTCTTATCAAGGGGTACACATGGCTGGGGAGAAGAAAGAGCAGAGCTGAACCAAAGGTTAGAATCTTCAGGAAGTATTTCAGTTCTTATCCTGACTGATGGGGGTTTGTGGAATCGGGAACAGTGAATTGGTAATGGATACAATCTTTCTAAAACAAGATTAAAAATGCTCAGAGACTATGATCCAAAATCAGACAATAGGCAAAAAACTGTTGACTTGAATACTAATAGCAAAAAAGAGCTTCATAGAGAATCTGAGGTGTTTTTTTTCTTTGCACTTACTTGTGCGTGGTTACACATGTTACTGGTATGGCGTACATATGGAGATCAGAGGACAGGTTGCAGGAGTTGGTTTTCTCCTTCCACATGTAAGTTCTGGGAATTGAATACAGGTCATCTAGCTTGGTAGCAGTGTCTTTGCTAGCTGAACCATCTTGCCAGCCCCAAGATTTATCAGCCATACAGACATAGAAAACTGAAGTCTGACTGGGAAAGCAGTGTGATTTGAATTCCAATGTGTTGGCCTAGACAGCTTGCTAGTCCAAAGTGAACCTGGAGGTGGGGTTTAGTGATGGTGCAGAAGCTAAATGAGAAGTTTGCCAGTGTGGAATAGGTTGGCTGAGGGACATTGGGGAGCGCTAGTTAGCTGGGCTAAGCTAAGACATGTAAGATGTGGGTGCCTGGATGTCTTTAGGGTGCAAAAGAGCCAATAGTGAGGGGGAGATTTGTAGTGCTGAAGAAGGGAGTGTCTATGAGGATGGTATTTAGAGTTCCTTATTTTTCCTTCTGCCTTATCTCATAGGTGATTGCTGTGGTAATGGACGTTTTCTCTGACATTGACATCTTCCGAGACCTACAGGAGATCTGTAGGAAACGGGGGGTGGCTGTGTACATCCTTCTGGACCAGGCTCTGCTCTCCCACTTTTTGGACATGTGCATGGATCTGAAAGTTCATCCTGAGCAGGAAAAGGTTTGTGGGACACCATTTCCAGTTTCCCCTCTGTCAGCAATTACCCATGATGTACAGTGTGGTGGTGGTAGTGATGGTAGGCTCCCCACTGACAAGTGAGGAAGCTGAAATCTCACAGAAAGTGAACATAACCCGTGACCTTGCAGTTCCATTCCTAGGTAACTACCCAAGAGGAATGAAAGACATGTCCACACAACAATGTGTCTGTTTATAGCTGCTGGAAGTTTCATCAGCTAATAAGTGGATAAACAATACGCTGCCTCTTCAGAACAATAGAATATTATTCACCCTTCAAAATGTTTGAAGTCCTGACACATGCTACCACATGGGTGAACCTGGAAGCATTATAATAAGTGTAGGAAGCCGTACAGAAATGATCATAAGCAATGTGATCCCATGTATATGAAAACCAGAACAGGGTCTGTCTGTAGAGACAGGAGGTAGATTAGCATTGGATTCAGGGACATGTGATAAAGGTAAGTTTGTAGCTAAAGAGGTATAGGCTTTTTGTTTGTTTTGTTTTTTGTTTTTGGTAATAAGAAAGTTCTACAACTGTGGAAATGTTCTGTATATCCACACCAAGCAGGTGAATTTTGTGGTGTATGAATTACCCCTCCATTAAGCCAATGAACAGAAAAGACAAAATGGCTGTCAGGTTTCCCAGCAGTAGCCAAGCCGGTGCTTGGAGGCTGATGCCGTCTGCCACCGTGGCTCCAGGTGTTTCCACTTTTAGCCACAGTGTCCATTTTGGAGCTCTTGCCCTGTCCCTGGCACTGCTCACTGCTCTGACAGATGTGACTTCGCTAACTCTCATGTCAGGTTAGTGACCCTGATACTTCAGTTAAGGAAGTGGTGAAATTGAAGAGCCTAGGAGTCCATAGCTGTAACATGGCTCAGGCTTTGACTCAGTTTCCCTCTCTCCCCCACGTGTGCAGTTGCTATCAGCCACTGCTGCTTACTTCTCACGACAGAAGCAGATTTTATGTCCTTTTCTCTGGGCGTGAAAATAATTCAGTATCTCCATATAAGGCCACAGCATTGGCTTAGTCTCTTTGGGAGTGAGGTAAGAGAGACATTTGTTACAGAATTCATGTTTTAAAGAGTGGAGCAACTTGTGAAGGTCAGAACCTAATTGATCATCCCACTGCCGGGCACTTGTTGGCATGAGGAACGCAACATTCAGCAGAGACGTCAGCCTCTGCTCCTCCAGGCCTCTGTGAGAGGCCCTGACTTAGAGCCTTGTAAACAGGCAGGTAGGTTTACAGAATTTCACCTCTTTAGCGTTCCTTCAGAGTTCCTGCTGCTGCTTTTCCTAATGAGCAAGCCAAGGATTGGGCTGAATACGATCAGTACTTTGTCATTTGTGCCACATGAAATGGGACAGCCATGTGCCCTAGCAGTCAACTTGAATATGAGTCCAGGAGGACTCAAGGAAAATGCCAGTTGGGCATGGTAAAGAGCACTGCCATCTAGCCAGGTATTTAGGCCACAGATGCTCTTGTAGAAGTATGGAAGGGGCCAGGGTATAATTTGAAGGTGCTCTTAGGTAATTAGGCCAAGTCTCAGCAGCAGAACAATGACAGAACTGTCCCAGCTGTGACAAAGCCATTCACTCTGCTGTAGACAAGGCAGAAATCCAGAGTGATTGCTGAGTTTGTTGGCGGCTGCCTTCATGGTGGTCCAGAGCCTCTGTAGGAAGTTTAAAGACAGTTTGTCTTTAGAGTGGGTTATCTCCTTCCTAGCTAGGCACCAGCTTCCCTCCTAGGCTTGTCTGTGTTGCGGGTCTATGCCCTTCAGAGGCACCCCCTGCTCTGGGCTCTGATTGGTTCAGAATTGTGAGTTACCCTGTCTATAAGAATCTGACTGCATATTCAGGGACAGGCGCGCAGAAGTGCTGTGTCCACAGTTACAGGCTTCCATGATATATCGATGTGTTAAAAGGGAAGACAGCCATCCCTATACCTATAGGTAGGCTGTTTTTATGCTCACTGTGTGTGCTGATTGTAAAATATTCCAGGTTCTTAACGAAAAACCTCACCTTTAAATTAAAATTTATGAAGGGTTATAGAGATGGATACCTGAATTTGGTTCCCAATATGTGTGTCTCATAAGCATGTGTAATTTTAGCTTCAGGGTATCTGACATACTCATGTGCACATACCCATACACAGATACTCATAATTTAAAGTATTTTAAAAATCACTTTTAAAGATGTAAAAAGAAGTTGCGGCAGGAATATAATGAATTCCTGAATGTTCTGTGTCCAAATTCTTCAAATGTTAATATCTCACTGTCCTCAGTACACATAACAAAATCAAGTTGGAGCCAGGTGGTGTTGGTGGTGACAGCAGTGGCTGCCACCTTTAATCCCAGCCTTGGGGAGGCAGAGGCAGGTGGATTTCTGTGAGTTCAGTCCAGTCTGGTCTACAGAGTGAGTTCCAGGATGGCCAGGACTACACAGAGAAACCCTGTCTTAAGTCCACTGGTTTCTCACTGTCTAAATCTCAGCTTTGTTTCATAACCACCCCTTCTCTAGTCCAATCCAGCAGGGCACCTTGCATTCACTAATGAAGTCTCCCTGGTTCTTGACCTCCATCTATGTGATTTGGCATCTGACACTTTTGGAGAACACTAACCATTGTTCTTTAAACCTGTATTTATCCGATACTCTCTGTGGTGCAGTTCCTGTGCATTTTGATAAGAATACCAAAGATATGGCCATGTGTCCAGATGTTGGGTTTTAATTTTAATGTCTTATTTTGCAATAATGGCAGAAGCTCAGAGCTGCAGACACCACAGGGGAGGTCCGAGTGTCATTTGCCCGGCTTTCCAGTAGTTGTGTTTGTTGCACTCTAGGATAGTCCAGAGCCAGAGCCTGGAAGTAGATGTTGGTGTACTTGTGCCCTTTTGTTGCCTATACACAGGAAGATAGAACCTTTAGTCACAGCACTCGGAGGCAGGGACAGGTGGATCTGTGAATTTGAGGACAGCCAGGGCTACATAGAGAGACCTTTTCCCGGGAAGAAAAGAAAGGAAGGAAGGAAGGAAGGGGAAGGAAGGAAGGAAGGAAGGAAGGAAGGAAGGAAGGAAGGAAGGAAAGAAGGAGAAGGAAAGGAATTTTTCTGTCACCACATATTTGCCCTCATATTTCATCTCAGTAGTCATGTCACTCCTGTCTGCATTATTCTGTCACATCCTACAGCATGTGTCCTTTTGAGATTGGCTTTTATCACTCAACTTTGTTTTTGGGGACCATGTAAGTTACATGTTTCAAAAGCTTGTTCCTTTTTAATGTGTTTGTTTTATTGTTGAGTGTCACAGGGTATGGTTATGTCATAATCTAACTAGTTTCTAGGCTCTAACTATTAGGAATAGAGTTGCTGTTCATGCTGAAACTCTGCAGACATGGGTCTCCCTCCTCTGCTTCATGTGGTGTCTTGCTTCGGATTTCAGCTGTCAGTTACTTTTTTCTCTAGTCTTTGAGGGCAACACCTTGTACTTCTGCTGTTTAGTGTGGTGTGTGGGAGAGGCTCTCTGTTTTTATAGAATCAATAAGATTCAATTGATCTTAAATGTTTACTTAAAATGTAAAATTTATTATTGTTGTTGTTGTTGGTGTGTGTGTGTGTGTGTGTGTGTGTGTGCACACGCGCGCATTCACATGAGGTCAGAGGACAACTTTGTGCATCAGGTCTCCCCTTCTATCTTTATGTGGGTTCCAGGGATTGAACTTAGCCTGTTAGGGTTACATAGCAAGCGCTTTAAGATTTATAATGATTTGTAGCTTCTATTCTGCTTTAGATCGTCTTCATATTTTATAGCCATTATGTGTGTATTTGTGTGTGTCATCTTTATGGGAGTAATTGTGCATCCGTGCATGTATAGTGTGCCTTTTTGGTTATTATGTACCTGTAGGAGATATGAACTGACCGATTAATCCGCATATGGTATGTTAGAGGCATGCCCTCTGATTACAGCTTCAAACCCCTTTCAATGTGGAAGTAAGTGAAGTGGGCTATGATTTCCTTATGGATGCCGTGAAACAAATAGTAGACATGCCAGTGTAGTTTTTCAACCCTTGCCAAATATTATTCATTGCTAACATATTTTCTTTGATTATTGGATCTCCCATTCTTTGTTTCAAAATCATTTCTTGGATTCTATTGGTTTCTTCCAAAAAGCAAATGTTCTTTATAGCACATACACACATGAGCTAAAGGTCTCTAAATATAAGCCAGTTGTGGTGGTGCAAGCCTGTGATCCCAGTACTTGGAAGGCTGGGGTAAAGGATTGCATGTCCAAGGCCAGCGTGGATGATAAAATAAGACACACCTCTTCTCTATGTATGAAAAGATGGACTAGGTGCAGAAGAAACATTGCTTGAGCAGTGTCTGACTAGTGTATCATGTGTGCTGACACTAAATGGTGGCCCTACGCTAAGCCACTGCAAACAGGTGTATTTGGGAATAGTTAATTTCAGTCCACTGGATAGTGTCACTGAGTTGGTCATTGACTTTTTTTTTCCTCCTACTCCCTGCCCTACAGCTGATGACAGTGCGGACTATTACAGGAAACATCTACTATGCAAGGTCAGGAACAAAGGTTGTTGGGAAGGTTCATGAAAAGTTCACACTGATTGACGGCATTCGGGTGGCCACAGGCTCTTACAGGTATGTTTTGAACAGGTGCCTCACCAGTTAGTCCAAGCCCTTTAGAGGAGTGAATACTTGCTCCTGCTAATAAGAGTCCTTTTGACAGAGTTCCCCCCCTCCATTTGCACACCTGTGTGTGTGCGTGAGTTGGTTCATCAAAGCTATCTTTTGTTGGATGTAGATGGGACAAGAGTCACTTTCTTTTCCCTGTGGTCCACAAAACTAAAGTAAAAATTGAAACTAACTTGAGAGTTCATAGTTAAAGTCCTGCATTCAAGTCTTGGCCTAGGCCTTTGGGGAAAAACTGGTCTCAAATCCTGGTTTCATGGGGACTTGGACCCCACCTCCCCTGCTTACTTGAAGGTAAGGACATTTGCAGATGTTGTAGGCAGACTGAAGCTGCTCACTTATACTTAACTGTTAGGTTGTTATGCCTTGTAATTGAGTACTTTTAGTCTAGAAAGCACTGGGCATATTCCAGGCCCACCTTGGAAGTCCCACTCTGCCAATAGTATCTTTGGGTGGAGAGCAGAAAGATGAATGAAGGGTTGTGGTAACAGCTGGTAACACTAATCCCAGGAGATTGTACCATTCTTACTCACACTGTGTCATGCTGTGTGCTTGGCTCTCTATTACATTATCCAATGGTACATGCAAGGTATAGAGTTTGAAAAAGGAAAAACAAACCCTCAATTTTGTAGAGTGTGTGTCCCTTAGCAGTTTTGTGCCAGGCGAGATAGTGAGATAAGTAGCTCTAGGTACCTTCCTTTTCTCATAGTAGCACCATTGTGTAGACTGAACACAGCTTGCTCTTGAGACTTCCTTCTATGAGGACTCATAAATACCAAGGGGACTTACACTGTCTCCCAGGGTGGATTTATTTATACTGATGTAACTTGGTTTTGAATAGTTTTTTGGCTGTTTGAAAATCTATAAGTATAAAAACTACCCTCTACAAATGCACTGTCCTAACACCAATGACAGTGATACTCCTGTGTGTTAGGACACGCTGCAGTTCTGGGGTCAGGTAGCTCCTTTGTTTCTGTTACCCCATTGTGTATATTCCAAAGACTCTTGGGCTCTGAAGCAGTTTTCAAGCAACATGTATTAGTCACGGTTCTTAGTTGCAAGAAATAGTTGAAACTGAGTTTCAGGGTCTCCCATTAATGCTGCTTGCTTCTGGCCCTAAGCTCAGTGTAAGGAGGCTAACTCAGAGTGCAAGTGAGGCAGCAGCTCACAGAGTGCGAAGGTGCAGCTGACTGTAGCTCCCCTGGGCCTTTCGGGGTGTTTATTACAACACTGTCCCCTACTTCTGCCTTGCTCTTTATTCTTAGTCTCTTCCTTTGAAGGCAAAGGCCCTTGCTTACTGACCCACCCTCCACAGCTGTTTCTCAAAGCTGTCTCCTGAAGCAGGGACACACATCTTTGAAAACTCATCTGGCCCTTGTGGGTTCACAGATGCACTTTGGATGAATCCCAGGGACCTGACACTGGCTGTCCCAGACCATATGCCCACCACATTGAGACTAGAGAGAATGTGTGCATGATAGGTTTTGTGGGTAGAGACAAAAGTATAGGTTCTGTTTCCAGAGGAAGAGGAAGGGATGCTGGACAGGCAAGAACACCGGGCTAATCAGGTATAAAATGTGCTGAGCACTGGCATCTTGGTGGAGTAGCTATCTCCACTGCAGAAACTGGAATAAGTGTCACTAGCTTCCCACTTTTGGCATCTCCAGCCAAAGGTTGCTGACCTAAATATTATATACCTTCCTGCTAGTATAAAACAGCCTGAGGATGGTGTGTGTGTGTGTGTGTGTGTGTGTGTGTGTGTGTGTGTGTGTGTGTGTGTGTGTGTGTGTGTATGTGTGTGTGTCAGTTAAAGCATTAGCCTCCTTTGTTTTTGACATGTGTATTTGTTATTTCATAGACAGCATGTTAACATCAAAGTTGTCACTCTAACATGGCAGTTACTGAGAATAGGTAAACTGAGATCCTTTATAACCAGTTTGTGTGTTTTTAATCCTTCAGTTTTACATGGACGGATGGCAAATTAAATAGCAGTAACTTGGTAATTCTGTCTGGCCAAGTGGTTGAACATTTTGATCTGGAGTTCCGGATCCTGTATGCCCAGTCGAAGCCCATCAGCTCCAAACTCCTGTCCAACTTCCAGATCAGTGGCAAGTTTGACCATCTGGCTAACCAAAAGCCGCAGTCAAAGGAGCCCACATTGGGCAATCTGCTACGCATCCGGCTGGCCAGGCTCTCAAGTACTCCCAAGAAGACCAACCTGAGCCCAGAAGTGCCACCAGAAGACAGAGCCAAAGCCAGGCGCCATGACTCTGAGGCTTCTACCATCAGTGATGGAGACTATTTTAATAGCCACAAGGACCAACTAGAGGATAGTAAGGTAGTGGATGCCTCTACCCAAACAGAGCCAGGAGAAGAGATGGCTGCAGTAAGCCTGAGTGAGGTGGGAACACAAACCAGTTCCAGCGTGGCATGTGTTGGGATCCAAACAACAGTTGTCACAAGGGCAGCAAGCTCCCAGGCTACAGTGTGGGCTAAGTCCACTGCCACACAGACTGAAGCTGATGAGAGCTTCCTTCTTCAGGGTGCCCAGTCTAAAGAAGGGTCACCTGCATCCAAGATGTCAGTGTCGAGATCTTCTAGTCTGAGGTCATCCTCTTCTATGTCTTCCCAGGGCTCACTGGCAAGCTCTGTCAGTTCCCATGTTTCCCTAACAGGCCCTGACCTCCACACTCCCGGATACCCCAAGTATCTGGGTCTGGGCACCCCCCACCTGGATCTGTGCCTAAGGGACTCATTCAGAAATTTGAGTAAAGAGCGGCAGGTCCACTTCACTGGCATCAGGTCCCGGCTTAACCAGATGCTGACCGTGCTGTCAAGGAGAACACTCTTCTCAGAACACTACCTCAGCTACAGTCCCGGAAGCTTCACTAGAGCCTCTATGAACCTGGTTTCTGTCAGGGACATAGCACTTTATCCTCCCTATCAGTGACTGCTGTGTCCAGTCAACCCCCTTGCGGCCAGCAGAGCCTCCTGCTCTACCAAGTACCACATGTCCCCAGCCGCCCTCTTACATCTGACACTGAGTCACCTTTGAATTTGAGTCTAGACATTGTCTGATATTTTTATTTTTGTTCTGTAGAAACCACCTGTTCGTTTAAACACTATGGGTACTTTTTTCCCCTTTTGCACTATTTTAATATATCTTAAGACTACATAGGTGTTTTAAGGTTGGCTTGAGAGATAAAATACTGCTGTGTATGTGTGTGTGTGTGTCTTGTCTTAGTGCTTTCAATCAGCACTTTTTAGGATCAGAATCATATTTAAAAGTTAAACAGCATTGTTTCTTAACTGACTTTATCTTGAATATCTGTGTTCTTAGCATTAAATAAGTATAGACAACTTCTTGTTTGCCTGGGGTTGTTTTTTTCTTTCTGGCAACTTTTTTATCTTTAAAAGTACATCATAAATAAATGCACCATAAAAGTATTTGTGTGATTTTTTTTTAAGATTTATCTTTTTATATATATACATTGAGGTTTTGCCTGCATGTATGTCTGTGTGAAGATGCCAGATTCCTTGGAACTGGAGTTATAGACAGTTGTGAGCTGCCATGTGGTGCTGGGAATTGAACAAGGGTCCTTTGGAAGGGCAGTACGTGCTCTCAACTGCTGAGCCATCTCGCCAACTCCTCTTTTTTTTTTTTTTTAAACAGTCTTGTATAAAGAAGTAAATATTCAGATAGTAAAGGGGTCAATAAATTCACTGAAGAATTAGAAGAAGACAGGCCGTGGTGGCTTATGCCTTTAATCCCAGCACTCTGGAGGCAGAGGCAGGTAGAGCTCTGTGTTCAAGGCCAGCCCAGTCTACAGAGTTCTAGGACAACCAGGGCTACACAGAGAAACCTTGTGGGTGGGTGGGGGGGAGGTAAAAGAGAGGGAAGAAATCTTAGTGCGGTGGCACATGTCTCTGATCCCAGCATTTAAGCCAAGATAGAAGGGTCTGAGTTTGAAGTCTATTTAGGAAGACCCTTTCCAGAAAACAAAACAAAAAAGTTAAAAGACTTTGAGTTAGTGTTGGGGTCAAACCATCCTTGGCATGTGAAAACTGACATCTGACATTACTGTGCACCTGAGGAATCTTGCCAGCATTCAAGCTTTTGTGTGTCTGTTTTCGTATTTTCAAAGAAAAGGCCTAAGCTACTTCAGTTTGGACCTTGGCTATCTGCCAAAGGAGTCCTGGGTATGCATTCCTGGGGTCACATTCACTCTAGTGGCCTCAATGGGTCCAATTTCATCAGATGGGTGTATTGTCAATGATTTAGCAATCCCAGATTCCTGGTCCAGTATCAGGCAATGTAACTGGTTCCTACATCCTGCTAATCAGGATTGGTATGGCTGTGGAATCCTGGTTTTGTCAGTCTTATTCATAAAAACAGACAAAAGGAAAGAGTTAAACCGTGGCTTCCTCCTAGCTTGCTAGCCCAGAAGTCTACAATAAGTAGGGTGTTGTTTTCAAGGAGAATGCTGATGGCTGCAGATTTTCAAGAGTGTTCCAGGACTCTGGTGACAAGGTTATCTGCTGTGTTAGTGCTGTAGTCTGTGGCTGTCAAGCATGTTAGGACAGTGGGCATGCCTAGCTGTGAACCCTCTGGGCTAATCCTTGAGTCTACATTTTGTAGACTTAGATCACTTTATATGCTTCCTTAAATCCTCATGGTATCTAGTGACTAAGGTTAGACAGCTGGCATCCTATTTTCAGATGTAAAAGCAGGCTGAAATTAAGTAGCCTACTCAAGATCATATAGCTGGTATAGGATGACATAAGAACTTAAAGACAGGCCTCCAGATCCTCCGTTGTGTGACTCTTCTCTGAAGTATAAAGCCTTGGAGCCTGTTGCTCGTGTAGTGGGAGTTAATGCAGAAACAGCCACATGAAGAAACGTAGGCACAAAGCTCTGATCGTGATCATGGATTTAAATTCCATTGAATTTTTAAGTCCATGTTCTATTAATAGACCTTCACCTAAGACATTCTAGGCTTGGAGATGGCTTATGTGGTAAAGTGCTGTATAAGCATGAAGGCTTGTGTAAAAAAAGCCAGGCATGGCAGCATGCACCTGTAATCCCAGTGCTGGGGAGGTGGAATCAGGAGGAAGATGCCTGGGGCTTGCTAACCAGCTGGTCTAACCCTAGTCAGATTTAATGGCTGCTCTAGTCTAAAATAAGGTGAATGGAACTGTCAAGAAGGCTCAGCAGGTCAAAGCACTTGCTGCCAAGTTTGACCGCTGGGACCCCTGTGGTGGGAGGAGACAATTGACAATTGCAATGTGTCTGATTTCTACACAGGTGCTGTGGCATATGTGTGCACAAACCAAAAATATAAAAAAAATCAAAATAATGAGCAGTACACACATGAACATGTACATACACCATATAAACACAAGCTACAGCTTGGTAAAGTGCCTGCTTTGCAACCATTAAGACCTGATTTCAACCCCCAGAACCCACAAGAATGTCATGGTGGGCTCATGAATTCCCAGTGTCAGGGAGGCAGAGACAGGTGGGTCCTGAGGCTTACTGGCCAGCCAGCCTAGCCTACTTGATAAATCTCAGTGAGTCTGTCTAAAAAAAAAAAAAAAAAAACAACAAAAAAGTGGATGGCTTCTAAGGGATAGCAGTTAAAGTGGTTTTCTGGCTTCCACACATATGTGCATCTGTACACAACTGCATAAATGTTCCCCTACACACACACACACACACACACACACACACACACACACACACACACACAATTTTTCGAAATTCTAAACTGGAAAGTTTATTCAGACTACCCATGTGAGGTGTCAGTGAATTTCTCTGACGGTAAGTACTTGGCCTACCACATACTTGACCACACTGTCTTCTCTGTGGGTAGGAGTCAATCATTGTTCTCTGAAAGTGCTGTCAACAATTAGAAATAGGAACAAAGGACAAGCTGGAAGGCAGGTGGTGGTGGTGCATACCTTTAATCCCAGCACTCAGGAGGCAGATGCAGACTGAGTTCAAAGCCAGCCTGGTCTACAGAGTGAGTTCCAGGACAGCCAGGGCTATGCAGAGAAACCGTGTTTCAAGCCCCTGCCCCACCCCAAAAAAGATAGATGGAATTCTAAGAAAATAGTCCAATCTTAGGATGAACAAAGCCTTTCTGGAACTTCAGTCTGGAAAGTCCCCAGTAGAGCTGCTTCTCTAAGAGAGATCTGAACACCTGCATCAGTCTACTGGCCTGCCTAGGGTTGGGTGTTGAGTTCAGTGATTGACAGAGCATGTACAAGATCCTAGGTTCAATAGCCGGCATGCACTCCCCTTCCACAATAGTTGATTATTGGCGTCAGTCCTAAAGAAGAGGAGGATAAGTAGCAGGGCGAGATTCTCTCTCCATCCATCTGATGTCATACTCAGCCACTACAGACTGAGCTGTAAATATTCAGGACATTTCCCTCAGTGCTAGGGTCAAACCAGAGATCACATATGACAGGCAAATGGTCTAACGCTGGGCTACATTTTCTGCTAGCATTTAGCTCTAAAAGATTACTTGCTATGGCTCAGAGGTTAGAGTACTTGTTGCTTTTTGAGGACCCAGATTTAGCTCTTGGCATCCACAACCATCCTTAACTCCAGTTCCAGGGAATCCAATGTCTCTTGGTCGTCCCAGAAACCCACATGTTATACAGACATATATGCCATCAAAACACTCATACATAAACAAAATAAATCTAAAATACCTTTAAAAACATAGTCATAATATAACTATTATACCCAAGCAACACTAATAAAACTTTCTCTATTATCAAATGTTCAATGCTAAAATACAGCATTATTTTTTTCCTCTCTGATGATTTGTTTGCATTAACTCTCCATATAGTTTTTATCCCAATCTGCAGGACTGACATCTTCTCATAAAACATGGGATCTTTTAAAGAGCTGGCTAACCCACCTTTGTGGACAGTGTGGCTAGAGAGTTGCTTTGTACTGAAGGGACTCAAGTGGCTAACAAGAAAACCAAAAAACCAGGTGGCAAGATGGCTTAGCGGGTAAAGGTGCTTGCTGCCCCGTCTGACTACCGGAGTTTGATTCCAGGGTCCCACCAACTCCCCCAGTTTGTCCTCTAACATCCACTGGAATGCCACGGCACATTCACCATGGCACAAATGTGCTTGCCCTCAGTAAACACATAAATGTAGTTTAAAAAATTAAAACCTAAGCTAAAGGCTTGTGTAAATCAAAAGTTTCATGAAAGAGTCAAGGTTACAGATACAAAATAGAATCATGCAAGAAGCTAAGCATGCATGCTAGGACATGCAAGACTCATGTAGGGCAATTTGTAAATTGAAACCTGGTTTAGAAACACTACTCAATGTCCACAAGGTGAAGAAAACAATTATTCCTGCTCCTAAGGGAATACATGAATTTCTTACAAGGATAATCTGATGAAAATATTGTGGAGGCCTGGAGTTGTTCAGTTGGTAGAGTGCTTGCCTAAGGAAACTTGGGTTTGATTCCTAACACTGTAAATCCAGTGTGGTGGTGCACACCTGTCATCCCTTAATTTGGGATGAGAACTGTGAGCTCGAGCTCATTCTTGGCTACATAGTGAGTTGGAGGCCAGCCTGGGATACATGAGATCCTGTCTCAAAATCAAACAGAACTCTGAAAGGGTAATTTTTGAAGCTTGGTGGTAAATATATTCTGAAGGGTTCTGTATGAATGTACTTTATACTGAGTGCATTTAGGTAAACCTGGTTTCACTGGGCTACAAACCTATATAGGTGCCCCAGTTTGCCTGGCACTGCCAGTTTTGCCTCTTATCCCCAGATCCCATCTCTCTAACACTCCCTTTCAGTCTTAGGAGTGTCCCAGTTTTGAGGCTAGCCAGAAAGCATCTCAGGCTTAAGGAAGCCTTCCCAACCCAACCAGCTCCCTGAATCACAGGCTCCTAAAGCCATCATGTCTTAGGGATTCTATGGCTTTCATGAGGCATCATGACCAAAGCAACTTGGGGAGGACTTCTGCCTCGCTTTTCATTGCTGGAGTAAGTCAGGGCAGGAACCTAGAAGCAGGAACTGATGCAAAGGCCATGCAGGAGTGATGCTTACTGTCTCACTCCTTATGGCTTGCTCAGCCTGCTGTTTTACAAAACCCAGGACCACCAGCTCAGGGATGGTTCCACATTCAATGGGCTGGGCCCTCCCCATCAATCAGAAATTAAGAAAATGGTTTACAGCTAGATCTTATTGAAGTTCTCTCTCTAGCTTGTGTCATGTTGACACAAGACTAGCCAGCACATAGCACAATACAGACTCATGTGGTTGGTTGCTGAGTGTCTTTCCTGTGGATCTCTTCACAACTCTGCACTGTGATCCTTGAAGTGGGTGCACACTTTTGCTTATTGTAATACCAATGTGAACATCATGGCTGGTGTGCAAAGCCAACAAACCTGGCACATTTAAAT